ATGTCTGCTGTACAGCAGCATTTAATAGTTGATTTATGGGGGGGTGGAGGGATCAGTACAACATGAAGCACGTCAGCACCTATTTTAGACAATACTCTATATTATAGTAAATACATCACTAGAATGGGCATAAAATATATTGTTACCTTTTCAGAAAGAAAAAAACCAAAGTTATCTATTATGCAATTAAAATAAAATGCTGCATGGTGGGAAAACTAGAGTTCAGAGTGAAAAGGCCTGTTTGAATTCCACCTCTGTCACTTTTTTTTAAATATATTTTTTAGATGTTGATGGATCTTTATTTTATTCATTTATTTATATGTGGTGCTGAGAATCGAACCCAGGGCCTCACACATGCTAGGCAAGTGCTCTACCACTGAGCCACAACTCCAGTCCTACCACCTGTCACTTTTTAAGAGACTACAATAACCTTAGGTAAATTTCTCCACCACAGCCTTCTCATCTGAAAAATAAATAAGTCAGAATACCAGCTGATCTGTCATAGGTCATGGTCAAGCTCTAAATATTCTATGACTTTGGCCTCCAAAAATACTTTTAAAACTTAGCCTAGTTGAGCTGCACTAGCAGAGATGTTTTTGCTGTTGTTTGTTTTCACAACGGCAAAATTTAACCCATCTTCTCTCCCCAGATAAGACTCCTATTTCTGCTTTGGCTTTACTCTTTCTAAAGGTTGGGTCAATCTCCCTTTACCAAGATGCACACCCCTATTTGACTCTTCGAATACCTAATCAGCTGCCAAATCCCAGGTTCAACCTCCTCAGAATCTCATACTCTTTCACCTCTTTTCTTTTTAATTCTTACATGTTCTTTTCAGTTATATGACAGTAGAATCCATTTTGATATGCTTATGCAAACTCGAAATATATTTCATTCTAATTAGGATCCCACTCATGTGGATTCACCTCTTTTCTACCACTTTAATCCCAGTCTTCATCACTCCTTGCCTAGATCACCGATTATCTCCCATAAATACCTGGATCTCCAATCCCAGCCTAGAGTTTTCTATCATATTAGTACTTTGCCAAAAAGCATGCAATGCCTTCCTATACATGAAAATTCATAACAAACTTCTCAACCTGACATTCAAGAAGCCCACATCTCAACCAGTTCGCTATGAATGTCTTATCCAAAAATCCAACTGAACTACTATTTTCTGCTACATCAGATTCCTTTGTACTTACTGGATTTTGTGCCTTTTACTTCTGTGTTGTTCTTACTATACCCTGTTCTCTTTTCAAAATTGATTTTATTATTTTAAGGTCCATTCTAAGGGTGATCATCTTCATCTAGAAATTACAGCTCCCTCTTCTGAGTGCACAGGATGCTGACATATGACAATTTTAATTACTGACAGTGAATTTTAAAAGACAGTTTACCTAGGTAGTAAATTCAATTAATCCCTTGTGCTAATTTTGTTTAACTGACATCAGATACCTGGCATACTGTCTTGAGAAAGATTTACTGCTTAGCAGGGGAAAAGGAAAGAGTGACATATCTTTGACATTCAGAAACCAGTTTCCAAACTGGAGCTTCACATAACAGGGTTTGGGTTCCTTGGTATTAAAGATGTTTAAATGAAGTCAACAATTAAAGGTTTGGACTTGTCATGTCAAAAATCCGAACAAAGTTATACAATAGTGATTCACAATCAGGCTTGATTTCAGCCCACCTCCCAACCCCATGGACCTTTATAAAATGTCTGGAAACAGGTGAGCACAGTGGCACACGGCTGTGATCCCAGTGGCTTGGGAGGCTGAGGCAGGAGAATCACAAGTTCAAAACCAGCCTCAATATCTCAGCAAGGCCCTAAGCAACTCAATGAGATTCTGTTTCTAAATAAAATATTTTAAAAAGGGCTGGGAATGAGGCTCAGTAGTTAACACCCCTGGTTGTTCAATCCCCAGTGCCAAAAAAAAGTCTGGAACACCTTTGAGCATCACATACACTGAGCAGGGAGGACTACCAGCAAATGCTGAACATCCTATTACACCCAGAACAGTCCTCACAATGAAGAATTATCTGACCCACAAGGTCAAAAGTGTCCAGGTTGAGAAACTCTGATCTAAACATACTGCATGCATCTATGGGTTTTGCTTCACAAAAGAAATTTTCAAATTTTTCATAGTGAAGAACCATTTCTTCAATCACTAGTGGTTTGGCCTCCTGTAAGTTATTTAATCTCTTTATACCTCAATTTCTTCATCCGTAAAACAGGGATAAAAGCCAGGCACAGCGGTGTACCCTGTGATCCCAGTGACTTAGAAGACTGAAGCAGGAGGATCACAAGTTTGAGGTCAGCTGGCACCAGCAACTTAGCAAGACCACAGCAACTTAACAAGACCCTTTCTCAAAATAGAAAAGACTGTGGACATAACTCAGTGGTAAAGCACCCCTGCATCCATTCCCTAGGAGCAAACAAATAAATAAAAATAATAATAATGATTATTACTATTACCACCTACCTCAAGGGGCTTTTCAAGGAGATGAATCCATGCATGTCAAGTCCTTAGACAAGTACATCAAGCAGAGGGTGAGCATTTAACAAGTCTAGAACTTACATTCTTCCCCTATCTAATGCCCAGTCCAGTGTTTTAAATACAGAAGATGCTCAATAATCGTTCCCTAAGTGAATACAAAAACCTGACTTCCTGGGGAGAGCCCTAAAGGGTAAAGACAGATGTATTCTTCTTCTTTTTTTTTTTTTTTTTTTTTAATGTTTTTAAAGTTGAGCACAGTATCTTAATTATTTATTTTTATGTGATGCTGAGGATTGAACCCAGGGCCTCACACGTGCTAGGCAAGCGTTCTATGGCTGAGCCACAACCCCAGCCCTGACAGATGTATTCTTGTTTGGGGAAAAAGGAAGCATTTGCCACCTAATAACATCTCTCCCCACTTGGAACACATTTAACTCAATCTTTTTTTCCCCCCTTTTCTTTTTCAATACTGGGGATTAAAGCCAGGGCCTTGCACATACTAGGCAAACACACTACCACTGAGCATTGCATCCCTAGCCCTCGGAACATCTTTAACCTTTTAAGAATTGGAAGCACTGCCTTAAAAACATCTCATCGATACTTGTCTTTCCTTTTCACACCTTCTGACCAACTGAGGATCCTCAAACCTGTGAATGGACTGGTATCTCCTGATCCCTATATCTTCTGTCTTGTGTTATTTATGTACTTATTATAGTTTTCCTACTAGTTTATACATGCCCTGTGGGCATGGACAACATTTGACTCCTTTTTATATAACTCAGGGGGCCTAACAGACCTTAACAACTGGCTGGCCCAAGCCTCTCATTTTTATAGATTAGCCACAGAGAGGACAAGTGACTTGCCAAGAGTCAAGGTCATATTTCAAGTGGCAGAACTCAAATTCGAACTCAGATAGATAGCCAATACAAAGACTCCAAGTGCTGCCCAATTGTAACAGCGTATGAAAATTACACCTGTGGTACAATGTTCAACTTAAGTCCTAGGACACTCTTATAGGAACTAGACCTATATACGGTTACCTTGCAAAACAAAAATTAGAAGGGGAAATAGACCCATATCCCAAGCTCCTTTCTGCTGCTGAAATCATACCTTACCAACTCAACCTGTTTTCTTTAATTCTGTATCTTACTATTTAATGACTTTTTGACAACAAAACTTGTTTAAATGTTTGACAACTATTATTTAATCAGTGACATCTGGCTTAATTTCCTCTAAATTATTATTTTGAGTAATAAAATCTCTTAATGGATAAACCAATGACGCCCATCCTCTGCTAACTGAACATTCTTTAACCATCACCTGATCAGATTAATGCTTATAAACCTCAAAAATCTGGAAATTTAGGGTAATTCTATAAGGTGAAATATCCAGATAACTTGAATTGTGAGTGTAAATAATCCCAACATAAGCCTAAAATTTACAATAATCAAGCATAAAGCACACACTAAGACCCAAGATCCGAGAGATTTTATTTTACTATGTTCAAGTGAAAGCTGTTCACATTTTCTCGGTAGATCATGAAATTTCTCTCAATGTCCCAATATGATGCAAAAGAAAAAGGTGAATAAGAAAGGAAAAGATCATTAAGACAATGTGGATGAGAAAAAGAGTTAAACACAGTGTAATTCCCTGAAGCTGAAGCAATTACAGTTCAATAAAGCCAAACATTACCATAAAGCAATCATTTAAAAAAAAGAACAAGAAAAAAGAAAGAAAAACCTTCCTCTGCGGTGATGCTTTATGTTACCAGTGCAAAAGCATTCAGGCCCAATAGGACCGATTATCACTTACTGAGAACAGATCTTTAATTACTTTACCAGCTGATTAAAAGGAAAAAGAAAAAAAAGCACACACACACACACACACACACACACACACACGGAACGTGGACACAAAACGTAGTGTCAAAGGAAAACAAACGCAGTTTATGCTTGGTAAAGTTCAAGGGCAAAACTGTTTCCAATGCAACAGAATCCGCCTGACTACAATGTGTTGGAAGAGGGAAAAAAAAAAAATGCGAACACATAGTATCTTTTTATAAAGGCAACAATTTGAGCTACAAAGTAATAACGGGGAAGCCAAAACAGTTTGACAGCCCGCCATAAGGGCCGCCTCAATCATGAGTCACACAATGCCTGCAACCATTTACAATAGTAATTAATGCACAAGTCCCCTAATTAAATCCTAAAAGGGTGAGAATGCTTTAACTAAGTTTACAAGAATTGCTTTTTTTTTTTTTTTTTAAAGAAAGGCGCGCGCGCGCACACACACACACTCTCACACACTCACACACGTAATTACGCATCTCCCCGCAATCCTTCCATCCAATATTCCCTCGGGCCGTTTTCTCCCGAATGTCTGTGCTCCTTGCATGCGAAAGAAAAATGACCAGGGGGGGAACTTGTAAACCCAGGAAGGACGAACCCGAGTGGCCAGAGCCGAGTGGAGAGGGGCGGGAGACGGAGAGCTCGCCCATCTTACCTGCTAAGATTTCTTTCTACGTCTTTGGTAGCTTTAGCTTCCAATTCTCTGAAACAGAAAACAAACACACATACACACAAAAAATAAAATAAAATAAAACAACACACACACACACACACACAAACACCGAGATGCGCGTGAAAACCGAGCTGCTGCTGCTGCTGCTGCTGCTGCGGCAGAGGCTCGCGCCGGCCGGATGGGGGGAGGGGAGCGGGGGGAGGGGGCTCACAAAGCTGCGGGGCTGCAGCCCAGACTGCGGTCAGGCGGCGCGGGCGAGGCGCAGCCCCGGAGCCGGGCCCAGCGGCGCAGCCAGGCCTCTCCCGGCCGCCCGTCGGGGCTCCGCCACGGCACAACCCGCGCCCTCCCAGCGAGGCCCCAGATCTCGGGGACGCCCGGCGCCGCCGCTGCCGCCGCCGCCCGCACTTGCGGGCCCCGCAGCAGCACCCGAGGCTCCTCCCGCCCGGAGGGAGGTCCCCGCTCCGCTCACCTCATGTGTGTAAAGTGCACGAGCAAGTGGGGCGCGGTGATGAGGCTCGCGAGCCTCAAGCCCTCCGCAGCGCCGCGGGGAGAGGCCCGAGCCGCTGCACCAGCGCCATTTTCTACACCGACCCGCTGCCGCCGCCGCCGCCGCCGCCGCCGCCGCTGCTGCCGCCGCCGCCGCCGCCGCCGCAGGCCCCAGGCCGGAAGTGAATGCCCCACGCGGCAACCCCTTCCGGGGGCGCCGCGGCCACCGGCCCCAAGATGGAGGCCTTAGCAACTAGACCCGCTGACGGGACAGGCCCTTGGCAACCGTCCGGGCGCCTCGCGTGGATCCGGGCCGGACCTCCCCGGAGGACCCAGCCTCCGAGGCGCCCCGCGAGCGGCTGCGGGGCCTCAGGAGCCCCGCGCCCAGCCCTTCCCGCCGCGGCCAGTCCCCGTCTGACTCGGCTCCCTCCCCTCCTCCGCCTTCGTTACTGCGACACAAGTTTCCTTCCCCGCCGCCGGCCCCGCCCCCACCGAAACACGCAAAAAAAAAAAAAAAAGAAAAGAAATTCCTCTAAACCTCCAATTCCACCCCTGCCGAAGCCTGATGAGGCCGCGCGGCTTTTGAATCCAGCCACTTTTAATTATTGTTGACCTTGTGCCAAATATTTAACCTCTGCTTCCCCGACTCCTCCTCAGGTGAAGGGCGCAGACCTGAGAGGGTTGGGAGGTTTGCAAAGGCGATTTTTTTTTTTTTTTAACCACTCGATTTTACGAACCCTTTGGCTGGACAATTGCACTTGCACTCATCTCTGCTCAGGAAATAATCCGAAGTGTCTGTAGACATTGCACCATCGAGATTTCAAGTCATGGCTTTGGTGGTGGTGAAAAGTGGTAAAAGGAACAGTGTGTCCAACCTGGGAAGGTGGCTTTAAAAATTGAACTTGTGGCATGTGTAAGAATAGCGTAAAAATGATGTCGAGGGGAAACGGTTACAATAGGCAGGATCCGTAGCAAATATGTAGACACACTAAGATACTTATGTTTGCAGACCCAGGAAGATACTATGTGTAGATGGAGTCATATATGGACACCGTCGTGTGGATACAATAAGATACGCGCCTACCTACAGGTGGATGCAGCACTGTTAATATGATACATATAGATACAATAGATTTTATAATAAGATTCATATGTTCATGTGCCTGCATTCCCTTCTCTCAATGCTTCTCATCTAAAGAGGAAACCTCCTCTGTACTTAAAATCCATTCCTTTTTACCTTCTCAAAATCCCAATCTGTGGATCATCTCATTTTCCTTTTTTCCTAACCTAAGCCCTTCAACTGACTTCAAAACATGCTCTCATTAAACACAAGCAACACCTCTCGCACTGTCCAGATCCTATCTCTTCTGAGGTTAGTATATAGGCAAATGAATGAATGCACAGAAATATATATTCATCAAAATGTTAGCTGATGATATCATGCATCTTTCTTCTTTCGGTGTCTCTCTTGTTTTCTTTCTATATTTACTCTTGAGGGTTCAAATGAGGCTTACAATATGTAAAATGTAGGGCATATCAAATAAATACGAGTGACTTTTCTTTTCCTGCCTTCATCCGTGAAGTCCACTTGCTCAGACACACATTTATTTTTTCTTTCATGATCTTTTCTACTTAAAATGTTAAAAGTTATATTACAGAATTTCTTGAGAAGTTGAAAGGTTGAATATATATGTACGGCACAATATGTTTTCATGCCGGGTTTATGAATAATTTTCCACAATAGCATAAGGCAATGAAAATAGCAATATTTATCAACATTTGCACAGCTGTTAAAATCAGCTGGTTTTCTTATTAAACTTTCTTAGGTTTGAATAACAGCCATTCTCAATTGGGGTGATATTGCTTACCGCCTCTGTTCCTGAGAACATTTAGCAATGTCTAGTTTTTAGTTGTCACACTGGGTATTACAAGTATCTAGTGGTTAGAGCCTAAGGATTCTACTAAATCCTGCAATGTGTAGGATAGACCCCTACAAAGCAAGCAAGAGTATCTCAACCAAAATGCCAATAATTTTCAGCCCTAGAGGAGCCAAGAAAATGTGGTTTCTTTCTTTCTTTTTTTTTGGTACCAGGGGACTTAACCACTGAGCCACATTCCCAGCCCTTTTAATTATTATTATTATTATTATTATTATTATTATTATTATTATTATTTTAATTTGAGTCAGGGTCCTGCTAAGTTGCTTACAGCCTAAGTTACTGAGGATGGCTCACTGGGCTTATAGGGATGTCCACACCCGGCCTAGAAGGGGTTTCCTGAAGTTCTGTCCCGAGTGCTTTTTCTTGTAAGATATTTCCTGAGCTGCCGTGTAGTTCACTGTGTGGCACTGCTAGTCAGTTGTTGTTGCTGCTGCACCAGGGATTCAGCCCAGAGGTGCTTAACCTCTGACTCACATCTCCACATCTCTAGCCCTTTTTACTTTTTATTTGGAGACAGGGTCTTGCTAACTTGCTTAGGGCTCTGTTAAGTTGCTGAGGCTGCCTTTGAACTTGGAATCCTCCTGTCTAAGTCTCCTGAGCCCCAGGGATTACAGGCTTGCGCCACTATGCCTGGCTGCTAGTCAGTTTTTAATTATCTTGTACTTAAGCTGGCTACATAGGAGTAGGTCAAGGGAGAATGATATAAGACCAGCACTGATTCCTTTCTGGGGACTCATCAAGGAATCGTTCTTCCCATCCTTTCTCTTTAAAAAAAATAATTAGTCTTTCTGCTGAATAGTTTCCATCATCAAATAAAAAGCAACTGCAAGAACTCCCTTGTGCCTCATTCCTACATCTCCATTTTTCAGCTCTCCCTAGCAAAGTTTTTTGGAAAAGTCCTGCACAAGCTGCTTTCAGATAGTCAACTGCTTTCCCCAGCCCACTTTACCCCAAAAGCCCACTCCTTCCTGCAAACCGTTCATATCAAGGTCACAAATGACTTTGAAGCCAAACTCAATGACAGTATCTCTGTCTTCACCTTGATTGACTTTTTACCTGTGTTTGCCACAACTGACCACTCTCTCCTTCTTAAGAGAGCCTTGTTCCTTGGCTATCCTGACAACAGATGCTTCTGGAGTCCTTTTTATCATCATCATCATCCTCATCCTCATCACCATGATCATCATCATTTTTTGTATCTCTATCCATTTCTTTTTTGCATTCTTTGCCAGCATCTCCTGCTTTATACCAGACAAATGTTGGAGATTCCAAGACTCTATTCCAGAAGCTCCCTGCCCTTTCTCTTGGGCATGAGCAGTATCATCCACTCTTTTATATTTAAGTAGTATCTAAATGCAGATGACACTCAAATTCATAGTCTTAGCCCACATCTCACCCAGGCACCCCAGAATGGCAACATGACAGTCCAACCACCTAACGACTATCTATTGAGCACCTGCTATGTGCCAGGTATGTGCCATGTGTAGATCCTACTACAGTACCTGGCACATAGCAGGTTCCCTGTGATTCATGCAGAACTACTCTGGCAGATTGAGTCTAGCAGGGAATACAAGGTTTATTTATTTATTTTTTTAATTTTAAAGCAAACTAATAAAGTGTTTAATTACAAAACGCAACAAGTGCACAGAAGAAAAGACATAAAATAAAGGAACATAGTAAGAGATGGTGTGCTCTAAAGTTTCTTTGGCAACATAAAACTGCACCCGAGGACTGAAGGATGAAGGGAATGGTGGAGGAAGGGTCTGGGGCTGGAGCTTATGTGTGTACGTTGTCGTTCTGGACAAAACAGGCTTTGCCTTGCAGCTAGATTCTCACTGAGCCACTGCTTTTACTCCTCTTGCATAACCCACTCAGAACCAAACCAGAAACATGGTGCTGTGCAGGAAAACAGGAGCTACAAATTCAGATCTAAATAGGACCTTTTCCCCATTTATCTTCATTCCTTGGAGCCTCTGCTTCCTCAGTTCTTGCAGTTGCCAGAACATAAATGTTCTCTGGCTTCTCTTCCTTCTCTTACTGAGGATTAACGACCGTCCTGATATTTCAGAAATTATGCACTTGAACGAGAGGGATTTCTTTTTTCTTCTAAGGCATTGCCAAATACCATCATGAGATATATATGTATTTTTTTAGGCAAGCCTCACTCAATATTTTTATTTTTATATTTTGCAGTGCTGGGGATTGAATCCAAGGACTTACAATATTCGATGAGTGCTCTACCACTGAGCTATAGTCTCAGCCCAATATTTTTTAATCTAGAAATTTTCCACAGTCCTGAATAAATGGCCATTGAAAACATAAACATAGATAAGACTTCCTGGAGAAAGTGTATTTGTGACCTTTTGGATACACTTTCTTTGGTACCACTCAGGCACACATTGATTAACTAATAACTAATCATTAATCGTCCTCACACAGTCCTGTGAGGTGAGAACATTATACCCATTTTGCAAATGAGGGTGATTAACCTTCCCAAAGTCACATAAATAGTAAATGGTTAAACTTTCTTAAAAAGTGTTTTGGCTCCAGAGTTGGGCATGGTGGCGCAGGCCTGTAATCCCAGTGATTCAGGAGGCTGAGTCAGGAGGATTGCAAGTTTGAGGTCAGCCTCAGCAACACAGCAATACCTTGTCTCAAAATAAAAATAAATAAATAAATAAATAAACACTGGGGATGTAGCTCAATGGTGAAGTGCCCCTGGACTCAATCCCCATTACCAAAACAAAACAAAACCAAACCCAGTGTTTTGGCTCCAAAGCTGACCTTTCTAGAAACTACAGTACATTGTACATCTATTTTTCCAAACTGTATTAGACCCTACAGTGGCTTTTGATAACAAGTGTTTTTTAATATCACTCCTTACTTTCCCAAAATGATAATCATAGATAATATAATCTACCTAAGACATAATTTCAAAATGCGTATAAAATGGCATATCTCTGAAATAAGGGAGAAATAAAAGTACATCTAATAAACGTCTTTGGCTATGTAAATGCTTGAGAAGACTCAGGGTAGCCAGAGTACTGGCACCTATGTTTCATATCAGCCCCACACTGACAGAGTGACATGGCTGTGTCTGATGGATTACTCACACTCTACGAACTGTAGCTATGTCAGATGAATCATTTTTTTCTGGAATGGAGAGCAACTCTCAGTCAAGTTCTGAGCAAATAGAAAACAATTCTGCCTCCATTTATGTGATTATTGTCACCCCTCG